TGAGGTGCCATTTCATGTGGAAACATTGGGTTTGGTTGAATAAATGTCTTGGCGGGGGGAGGGTGGTAATGTTGATTTTGTTTATGTGGGAAATATCAAGATTTTGTTTGATGTAGTGAAAATCAGGGTGATTTAAAGAATTGGAAATGATAAGGTGTTGCTCAACGTGGGAAATGTGGTTTTATATACAAAAAAATGTCCTGTATTGGAAATGGGAGAGAGATTTTTCCTGTAGGAATGGCCAGTGAGTTTTGAGATCATGATATAAACTTGACTAACACAAGTTTTGTTAGGGAACTGTATATATGAGACAGAAGTATAGAAACAATGGTTATATCTGTACAGCCCCCACCTATTCTGAAATCAATAGCCAATAACAGTTTGCCATTTTGGTATGGATACATACACATTTACAGTTGACAGGAGATATATATGTGTTGTCCTAATTTCTCGTCAGAACGAACATTTTGTCGCCATTAAAGGCTATCAAAGTGACATTTTGTTTCTGTAAGTAATTTATTTTAACGATTCATTTTTCTAAAACATGTTTGATAGATTTTTGTAGACAGGAGATAAAAGGTATAAGATCTAATCAAATATTGATGGCTATTATTTTAGCTGCCTCAGCTGCTTGTAAAGATGTCTGTTCAGGAGTACAGGTAAACTGGCCCCTAAAACCTGTCAATGGTCCTCAACCTAATCTAGGTCCCTGGAATAAACTGTATCATAAACCTGAGTCTAGTCCCTTACATAGATTAATGGGATCTTCCGTGCTAGCCTATAGTACGTATCATTAGCTTGTATACGTAGTCCCTTACATAGATTAATGGGATCTTCCGTATTAGCCTATAGTACGTATCCCTTACATAGATTAATGGGATTTACCGTGCTAGCCTATAGTACGTATCATTAGCCTGTAGTCCCTTACATAGATTAATGGGATCTTCCGTATTAGCCTATAGTACGTATCCCTTACATAGATTAATGGGATTTACCGTGCTAGCCTATAGTACGTATCCCTTATATAGATTAATGGGATTTACCGTGCTAGCCTATAGTATGTAATGTATTATCAACCTGTAGTCCCTCACATAGATTAATGGGATCTTCCGTGCTAGCCTTTAGTATGTACCATTAATGTCTACAGTGTTAAATTAATGGAATACAGGTCTATATATATATATGTATAATGGTTTCTGAATTTGTCTTGCTTGCTTTGGAATCTGTCATTCTTGAAACCTAGACTAGACTACGATCAAGTAGAGAAATGGTTCAAGTCTTCTGCCCGACGTCTGGTTGGTTATTTTGATGAATTCCTTCCCTTCTGGCCACAACTGATACCAACACTATTTTTGGGATGATTCTCCTGTGAATTGTATGTATGAAGTTCATTGATATGTGAGAGCTAGCTAGGTCATCACAGTGATTCAGCATTATGACCTTCATATTCCTCGGGGCCGAGATCTAACATGGTGTTGAGTGTCCCTCTTTGTAAGGTCGGGGGGACTGGAATCTTAGAAACATTATGTGTGTCCTCGTGTGTGTGTAAGCCCTGGCTAAGGATCCTCGGCAGAAATCTTGGTTGGAATTAATCAATGGAAATATGAAATATGATTAAGAAACATGCAATTCAAACACTCGTCAATGAGCTGGTGTTACAATTTGATGCCCTGGCATAGCCATGTTTAATAGATTTCAATTAACAATCTAATGCAATTCATGCGATTAATGTTAGACTGATTCAGCGAGGGAAAATTGGTTAATTTTTGTCCGGGCTGTGTGCATGGTGTGATGGGAACAACATACAAGGTTTACATGGAGCTTTGGTAGTGCGTGATTTGAAGGGTTTTAATATTTTTCAACCAATATGTGTACTTGAAAGGCCATGTTGGTCTGGACGTGATTTAGGTGGGGTGACTGAGTCCCGGAGGACTGGCCTGATCAAAGGATTGTCTGACGCAAAGTTTGGACCTTTTTGATCAACCAATACACAAGGCGTATAAGGTTATCAGTGTACTATCACAGTGTTACAGAGAAACATCTGACGGAGAAAAAAACTGTTCTGTGTAATCGACAGTTCAAAGGTCATTGAGAGACCATATAGTTCAAAGGTCATTGTATGGAAAATTTGATAGTTCAAAGGCCATTTTGTGACAGTCTTGATAGTTCAGAGGTCATTGTGTGACAGTCTTGATGGTCAAAAGTCATTGAGAGACCGGTTAGTTCAAAGGTCATTGAGAGACCTGTTAGTTCAAAGTTCAATGTATGGATCATTTGATAGTTCAAAAACTATTGTGTGGCAGTCTTTATAGTTCTAAGTTCAGGATGCCACAGTCTTCATTGTTTAAAAGTTAATTTGAGCATAATAAAACTGGATGGATTTTGCAGTTTGCCAATTCGATGTTTCAACATTTTGTTGAGTTGAGGTGGATGTCTGTATGCTTGTTGAAAGTTTCAAGGTACTGGTCAAAGTCCATTGATGACATCATCAACTAGACTAGTGGTTGTCTGTGTACCGGACACAGATGATTGACGGGAATGTTAGTTATTACATTGTTCAGAGTATGTAAATTGCTTAATTGTTGAACAGTGTCTTACCATTGAATATAACTTCACTATATGACACAGTAGGAACTACACAGTCAACATCAGGGCGATGATGGCGTACTGAGTCACAACTGTTACATTAGAAAGTTCTGTTTCACAGGAGATCAAGACACCAAACAATATGTAACCCCCACAGCTGTTACCGAATCTGAAACACAGTTTGTCGCCCTGCCATACCAAGTGTACTTATCAGCGAGGAGTTAAGAAGGATTTAAACAGTCAACACAGAAGTGCCGGATACTTACCTGGTCAGATAGTCATTATAATCAGCCAACGGGATACTTACCTGGTCAGATAGTCATTATAATCGGCCAACGGGATACATACCTGGTCAGATAGTGAGGTCATTATAATCTGCCAACGGGATACTTACCTGGTCAGATAGTGAGGTCATTATAATCGGCTTACGGGATACTTACCTGGTCAAATAGTCATTATAATCGGCCAACAGGATACTGACCTGGTCAGATAGTCATTATAATCGGCCAACAGGATACTGGCCTGGTCAGATAGTCATTATAAGCGCCCAACAGGATACTGACCTGGTCAGATAGTCATTATAAGCGCCCAACAGGATACTTACCCGTTAAACAGTAACTTCTGTTGTCAAACATTATGGGGATCCGGAGGATTTATGACAAAACAGACTGGATTTGTCCTATGACATTGTGACAATGGATTTCTCTAAATTAAATGAACTGAGGAATAAGAATGGTTTCTCCTCGCCGCGGGTGAGAGACGTAGCGGCCAAACAGGCCATCGCCCGCGGCTTCCAGCTTGACCACTGCTGGTTCTGTGGGCGGCCAATGAACGGTTACAGGTAAGATGATCCAGCTTATATGTGTGATTTATCTGCCTTCTTTATTACAAGGACTTCAATAAAACATCTGTTGACATTCTTCATATGTCATAGATCACATGACCATAGAACGCCCCATTATTAGTTGACACCGGTACCGTCACCATATGACATCAGATATTGTGTGACCCCTATCACAGTTAAAACTCTCGTCAAATGACACCGTCACTATATGACATAAGATATTGTGTGACCCCTATCACAGTTAAAACTCTGGTCAAATGACATCGTCACTATATGACATAAGATATTGTGTGACCCCTATCACAGTTAAAACTCTCGTCAAATGACGCTGTCACCATATGACATTTATAAGCTATTGTGTGCCCCTACCACAGTTAAATGTTTGTCGTATGACCAAATTAAGCTTTGTTGTGGTCTGGTCTTGACATAATGGTACACACTATCGTTGTAGGTTCAATATGAGTACAAGTCCGTCTCAGTGAAATGTAATTGTTTACCTGTGTGGCCAGCTGTATGTCAGGTATCAGAAAGGCCGCTAATGAGGGTATAAGTCTTCACTACAATACACTGTAAACTTCAGTTTTAATGTCAATATAATTAATTGTATACAAATATTGACACACTTGCTGTGAAACTTTAAAATTTATAATGATTTCCATAATTAATTGATAAGCCCTGCAGATCTTTTATATCCCACCTTTCAACAGGTTTTAAGTTACCTGAAAAAAATAATACAAACTGCAAAATTTTGTTTTCTGGCCTTTGAAAATAAATTCAACAAATGTGTAATGTTTCCATGTATACTTATCTTTACTTTAGGTTTTATTATTAGTTCCAAGCTAAATAAGTCTGTACACTACAGAAACCAAAGATCTCAACATTACTGACACTCTGTTATAACAGACACCAGCCTCCATACCTTCAACGTATCACATTCTCTTGTGTATTAATTGATACAGTTTATATTCAATAACTTGGTCAAAATGAAGGAACATGCATTATTTTAGGACATGTTTTACAAATATGGCAGAATGGAACAACTCCCGAGTGCGGTAATGATCAGATACATCAGTGGACAGCAGGTATCGGGCAATACAGTGAAAAGTCAATAGTTAGGTGTAGCTGACATATGTATCTCACACTGTCATGTTGACCTCTGTCACAGCCTCAGCATTAGTGATGACCAGTGGTCAGTCTGGTATTGCTATCAATGTCTTAGTAGCCAGATGTTGACCAGCCTCAGCAGTGAAAGTGACCAGTGGTCACTGTCATTATTGTGTTCTGCATTTATCATTGTCCTAATATTGACCTCAGTTACAGAATCAGCAGTGAAAGTGACCAATGGTCAGTGTTCTGTTACTATTAATATCCTAATATTGACCTCTCTGTTACAGCCTCAGCAGTGAAAGTGACCAATGGTCAGTGTTCTGTTACTATTAATATCCTGATGTTGACCTCTCTGTTACAGCATCAGCAGTAAAAGTGACCAGTGGTCAGTGTTCTGTTTCTATCATTTACCTACTGTAGTTGTGTTGCTATCGATGTCCTAATGTCGACCTCTCTGTTCCAGCCTCAGCAGCGGTGATGACCAGATGGAGAAGCTGGTTGAGCTGGAACGACTCCTTGCTCAGGCACAGAAGGACAAGATGAAACTCATTGAAGACAAGGTGACCTTCAACTTTTGATTTTACAAAATAATTGACCTTGACACCCATTTGACTTTGAAATCTTGGCAATTTAAATGTAGTAACCCTTGATTATGAAAAGTTCTTGTTACACTACCAGTAAGTGTTTCTATGTGACATTTCGATGTCTAGTACGCAAGGTCAACAATATATAAATGTTGATTTTGTGGACAACTCGTACACATTTTTCACCTTTGTGTGCATAAAATTTACTGGTCATTTGTCTGATGAAGGTGACTAAGTACATACTGTACTTATAGTCATCAAAATGTCACATAGAAACACTTATTGGCTGTGTAACAAGAAGCGTAGCTGAATCGAGTCATTTCAGCACATATATAACAACTATTGTACATACGCTTTCAGCATATCCGAATCAACATCAATTTTGTGGACAACTCGTACACATTTTACACCTTTGTGTGCATACAATTTACTGGTCCTTTGTCTGATGAAGGTGACAGAGTACATACCGTACTAGTCATTGGTTGTGTAACAAGAACTTTTCATAATCCATACTTACCAACCTGAAGAAAAGGTTTAGTAGCAACCCTCAAGTTTGTTTTAACCCTTTCACCACTGTAGACCATAATGGACTCATCCAAATCAATGCATGGAAGAGTTTACTAAAGTTACATAGGGGTGAAAGGGTTAAGTGATATACTGAATAAGACCAGTCACTTATAGTCACACAGTCTGTGAACACGTGGAGGTTGGACCCTACCTTACTTTGTATATATATAGATGACCTCTGGCTGTTTGACCTCTTCCTCCCACTACAAAGCTGCCCTCCAGTAAAGTAGAGGTTTTGATTAAATGATAGAAAACCCATATTCAGAAAAATATATCTGACAGGAGCACGACTTAGACAATGTAACAACATTGAAATTGTCATTCTAAATTCTTTGCCTAACTTTATTTACTCCTCCAGGCCAGTATTTTATCTTTATTTATTGCTGTATTATTTATAATTGGAAGATTGTGATTGAAATTATAAACCAAAGTCTGATGCTCTCTTACCAAGAGAATGGATATTTTAAAAATCGGTTCAGTATAAAAGTTGATATTTTACAAAAAATGTCTAAATACCCCAACCTCAGGTACATAGTTTGAGATCAAAACCTTGGCAAGCCTTGTATTTAGGTGCTCTCTGTATTTAGGTGCTCTCTGTATTTAGGTGCTCTCTGCATTTAGGTGCTCTCTGCATTTAGTGCTCTCTGTATTTAGGTGCTCTCTGCATTTAGGTGCTCTCTGTATTTAGGTGCTCTCTGTATTTAGGTGCTCTCTGGGTATCCTGGTTGTGACTTGTAACATTTTGTGTAGGTAAAGATGAAGGAAGATGAGATGGCTGCCCTCCAGGAGGAACGATACAAACGCGAGGAGCTAGAGAAAAAACTCCAGGAGGAGACAAGTCTACGTGAAGAACTGGTACAACAGCAGGTCAAGATGAGAGAGAGACAAGTAAAACAGGTAGGTAATCATAGTAACAGGTCAAAACAGGTAGATAGTCATAGTAACAGGTCAAATAGGTACGTAGTCGTGATAACAGGTCAAAACAGGTACAAAGTCATAGTAACCGTCAAATAGGTACATAGGTGTGGTAACAGGTCAAAACAGGTACATAGTCATAGTACAGGTCAAATAGGTACGTAGTGGTGGTAACAGGTCAAACAGGTACATTGTCATAGTAACCGTCAAATAGGTACTTAGTCATGGTAATTAACAGGTCAAAACAGGTAGGTAGTCATAGTAACAGGTCAAATAGGTATGTAGTCGTGGTAACAGGTCAAAACAGGTACATAGTCATAGTAACAGGTCAAATAGGTACGTAGTGGAGGTAACAGGTCAAACAGGTACATTGTCATAGTAACCGTCTAATAGGTACTTAGTCATGGTAATTAACAGGTCAAAACAGGTAGGTAGTCATAGTAATAGGTCAAATAGGTACGTAGTCGTGGTAACAGGTCAAAACAGGGAGGTAGTCATAGTAACATGTCAAATAGGTACGTAGTCGTGGTAACAGGTCAAAACAGGGAGGTAGTCATAGTAACATGTCAAATAGGTACGTAGTCGTGGTAACAGGTCAAAACAGGTAGGGAGTCATAGTAATAGGTCAAATAGGTACGTAGTCGTGGTAACAGGTCAAAACAGGGAGGTAGTCATAGTAACATGTCAAATAGGTACGTAGTCGTGGTAACAGGTCAAAACAGGTAGGTAGTCATAGTAACAGGTCAAAAAGGTACGTAGGTGTGGTAACAGGTCAAAACAGGTAGGTAATCATAGTAACATGTCAAATAGGTACGTAGTCGTGGTAACAGGTCAACACAGGTAGGTAGTCATAGTAACAGGTCAAATAGGTACATAGTCATGGTAACAGGTCAAAACAGGTAGGTAGTCATAGTAACAGGTCAAATAGGTACATAGTCATGGTAACAGGTCAAAACAGGTAGGTAGTCATAGTAACATGTCAAATAGGTACGTAGTCGTGGTAACAGGTCAAAACAGGTAGGTAGTCATAGTAACAGGTCAAATAGGTACGTAGTCGTGATAACAGGTCAAAACAGGTACGTAGTCGTGGTAACAGATCAAAACAGGTAGCTGGTCATAGTAACATGTCAAATAGGTACGTAGTCGTGGTAACAGATAAAAACAGGTAGCTGGTCATAGTAGCATGTCAAATAGGTACGTAGGTGTGGTAACAGGTCAAACAGGTACATAGTCATAGTAACCGTCAAATAGGTACATAGGTGTGGTAACAGGTCAAACAGGTACATAGTCATAGTAACCGTCAAATAGGTACATAGGTGTGGTAACAGGTCAAAACAGGAAGCTGGTCATAGTAACATGTCAAATAGGTACGTAGTCGTGGTAATTAACAGGTCAAAACAGGTAGGTAGTCATAGTAACAGGTCAAAAAGGTACGTAGTTGTGATAACAGGTCAAAACAGGTAGGTAATCATAGTAACAGGTCAAATAGGTACGTAGTCGTGGCAACAGGACAAAACAGGTACATAGTCATAGTAACAGGTCAAATAGGTACGGAGTCGTGGTAACAGGTCAAAACAGGTAGGTAGGCATAGTAACAGGTCAAATAGGTACGTAGTCGTGATAAAAGGTCAAAACAGGTAGGTAGTCATAGTAACATGTCAAATAGGTACGTAGTCGTGGTCACAGGTCAAAACAGGTAGGTAGTCATAGTAATAGGTCAAATAGGTACGTAGTCGTGGTAATTAACAGGACAAAACAGGTAGGTAGTCATAGTAACAGGTCAAAAAGGTACGTAGTTGCGATAACAGGTCAAAACAGGTAGGTAATCATAGTAACAGGTCAAATTGGTACGTAGTCGTGGTAACAGGTCACAACAGGTAGGTAGTCATAGTAACAGGTCAAAAAGGTACGTAGTTGTGATAACAGGTCAAAACAGGTGGTAATTAACAGGTCAAAACAGGTAGGTAGTCATAGTAATAGGTCAAATAGGTACGTAGTCGTGGTAATTAACAGGTCAAAACAGGTAGGTAGTCATAGTAACAGGTCAAATAGTTACGTAGTCGTGATAACAGGTCAAAACAGTTAGGTAGTCATAGTAACAGGTCAAAAAGGTACGTAGTTGCGATAACAGGTCAAAACAGGTAGGTAATCATAGTAACAGGTCAAATTGGTACGTAGTCGTGGTAACAGGTCAAAACAGGGAGCTGGTCATAGTAACAGGTCAAATAGGTACGTAGTAGTGATAACAGGTCAAAACAGGTAGGTAGTCATAGTAACAGGTCAAATAGGTAATTCCACTACACAGTATGTTGTCAGGGTAGTAAGATTTGTCATTGCAGCTGGCTAACTCACCAGTTCTTTGTTTGCAGGCACGACCCCTCACCCGTTACCTTCCTGTCAGGGAAAAAGAGTTTGACCTAAAGCAGCATATAGAAACAGCTGGTCATCACCTTGACAACTGCCCACAAATCACAGTTACACCAACAAGTTGTCGGGGATTCTTACACAAAATGGGAAACAAGTTTAAAACGTGGCACAAACGCTGGTTCGTATTTGACCGTGTCAAAAGATCACTCATTTATTACACTGATAAGAGTGAAACGAAGGCACGAGGAGGGATCTACTTCCAGGCTATCGAGGAAGTTTATGTGGACCATTTACGCACAGTAAAAAGTCCCAACCCAAAACTGACATTCTGTGTGAAAACATACGACCGGACTTATTATATGGTGGCGCCGTCAGCCGAAACAATGCGCATCTGGATTGATGTCATATTTACAGGTGCCGAAGGATATCAACAGTTCATGTCGTGAGAAAGAGTGAGGAAGTAAGGGGAGGTAACTCTGAATTACAACAGAAGAGCGGGTTATTCGTGTACATGTGTTTCCTTGACGGAGGTGATTAGTATGGTATTTTCGTAAGATGACATGTACAGAATGGTCACGAGAGTGAATCAAAGCCATTATGTACAACAATATAGTGACAAAGGTGAATATGTTCTGTTATGGTTTTCAAATCATTTATATCTACAATATTGTCCACTATCCACTATTACGGATAGCTATTCAAGCCAAAGAGTGAAGTCAAGGGAGGTAACTCCATGGTTTCCTACTATATCTGCTGACATTAAAGTATACTTTATTACACACTGGTGTGATTGTAGGGTATACAATGTATCACAGATCTTCGTTTAATTTGTTTTTATGAAGAATTTTGAGTTATTGAGTGATTTTGGTGTCCTGATTTATAGTAGAGTACACAGTTGATGGAGTGTGTAAGTTGTACACAAATGTTGACGTACACAAGTATTTCTCCTTAATATTTAATATGTAGCAGCAACCAGGGTTTTACTCATTAATTGAACAAAACTGGTTTAAGTTTGGCTTTTGTTAATAAGTGACTTAATTCATCACTCTCTTGGTGTTCTTATTTAACGACGACTTAATCCATTACTCTCTTGGTGTTCTTATTTAACGACCAAAGCAAAAATTTAGGAACAGAAATCATTTTTGTTACGGAAATTAGTTACATTTATATCATCAATACCAGATTTTATCTCAATACAATAATTATTTAATTTTTAAAATATGTTTTAAGTTAAATATCAGCATTAATGTGCTTGTGAGTATCTATTCATGTTCGTTACTTGAATGTTTATGTTTTCTAGAAATTCGTGTCAAATTTATACGGGATTACAAATCAACATTTTGTGTGTTTGGTTTTTATCTAAAAAAAAATGTAGAGATGTATTTCTGAATTGTTTTAACTTAATTCTCACAAACAGTTGAACATGTGATAGGAACGTTTGTGACTTTTCGTATACATCCAGTGTCGTGTTCATGTATGTGTAGCAATAGACGACACGCGAAGTAAGACGACACACATAGTAAGACGACACGCGTAGTAAGACGACACACGTAGTAAGACGACACACATAGTAAGACGATATACGTAGTAAGACGACACACATAGTAAGATGACACGCGTAGTAAGACAACACACATAGTAAGACAACACACATAGAAAGACAACACACATAGTATTACAACACAGGTAGTAGCACTACATTGTAAGATATCTGTGTTTGTTGGAGCAGTTTTATCTCATTAACATAATGAGATAAGGACAGTTGGTATTTCCGTATGGGCCTCACAGCCAGTATACATATGTAGCTTTCAAATTTACAAAATAAATAATTTTAGGAAAGTACTTCCTTTTTACCCAGTATTAAAGATTCTTTTGATTTAAATCTGATTAAATGCTTGTAAATTTGACATCCTGCATGTTCCTAAAAATTAAGCAGGGTTTGTAAAAGTATTTTTAAGTAATCTTACACTTCCAAATCTGCTTTCTTTGTCTTATATAAAACATCAATTATATAAACGTATATGAATCACTTAGCACCACAAATAATTGATACTCAATCAGATCTCCATGGAAACAGAATGGTAATCGTGACTTTGTTGACCCGTATTATATGAATAATCTGTCCCCTGTTTAGAATCTTCTATCTGTTTTCACTAGAAGATTCTAATTTTACTATTCTGAGGGGAAACAGGTACTCATAAAAATTGTCCTACAAGTGTCCTATAAGAAATTAAACTCACTTAGAAATAATACATATTCATGAGACCATTAATGGCGCCATCGCACGTTGAACACGTGAACTAGGCATTGATGTATTGGACTTCCTGAAAAACAGACCGAGGTTTCCTTTTATCGGGATATCAGAACTTGTACAAACTAGCTTTGCTTGTTTTTCTGTATAAAGATGATTGCCAAATATTTATTTTTAAGGAAAATATGAGTTTTGAACAAATTATTTATCATAAGATATGCTTGCTGTTTTTCTTATTATTGACTGAAAATTGTAGATATGTACTGTATGATTGTTGGGATAATTTATGTAAATGTGATGGAATGGAAAGTGCCTTATATACCTGTG